TCGTCCACAGCGTCTCCATGCTGACGGGCTGAATTCTCAGGGCTCCAGACGTAACCCTCGGCAGTCTGATGGGGACCGACTTCGACGGGGCAGGTAAGGTGGAGGCTAGGTCTCGAGCCACCGACGTGTAGTACTCGTTCAGTGTGTCAGCGGTTATACGGCTGATGCCTGACGAGGACTTCTTGGAATCGATGATGGGCCGGAGAACTCTCCACATGTTGCCGGGACCGCTCCTGTGCAGTTTTTCCTGCAGGTCTCTCCGACAGTCAGCTCGAATGGCCGCGCGTGACAGCCGATTCAGCTCTTTGTACTCCTGGTGGCGGCCAGCAGAGAGTGCAGTTCGTCGCTGTGTAAGTAGGTGGCGGGTATCACGGGAGACAGGTGGCGCCCCCTCCGGCCGGAGAACGACGCGTCTCTCGGGCGCCGTCAAGTCGAGAAGTGGTTTGAAGATGTTGATGAAGGCGGTCCACTTCTCCTCAGGTCCGGCGGCGGTGTAGACGGACGCCCAGTTGACGTTCAACAGCTGTAGGTTGAACTGTCCTTTGTCTACGTTCGCTAAACACCTTCGCCGGACGACGGGTCCGGCTCGGACCCTGTCTTCGGTGAGGCGGAGAGCCAGGCGGGTATAGTCATGTGGCGATCCGTAGTGGCATCTGGTGACGCCGGCTCGAGTGACGAGATCGCTCCGGTTTGTGGCCATAATATCCAGGAGACTGCCGGCGGGACGGTAGGTAGGCTCAGTGGTATTACATATCTGCAGCCCGTGCTGACAGAGGAGTGAGCGCAGACGGTTCCCTGGACTGCAGCAGTTGTTCGCGGTCTTGAGGAGGCAGCAGTTGAAGTCACCACCGATTATCACCGTCAGTCCGGGCTGCGCGGCGATCAGATGCTGCAGCTGTGCCTCCAGATCGTCCAGATCGGCTGTCAGTTGTTGGCTGGTGTTTCTTGGGACTCGATAGAAGGACCCGATAAGTAGACGTCGACATTTTCCCACGCGCACGGCCACCCACTGCGCCTCAAGATTGGAATCGCGCATACCCGTCGCGGGCGTAGGGAGTGGCTCTATCTCAAATGACTCTCGGATGTACATTGCGACACCGCCGTGACCCCTCGCGAGACGGCCACCGCGCGGCCGGTCCTTGCGCACGAGTCTGTAGCCGCTGAGATTGAGCAGACGGTCCGGTATGCGCTCCGTGAGCCATGTCTCGCTCAGCAGCAGCACGTCGAAAGAGAAACGCGAGTCGATGTCGGCACGGACGTCCGGTAATTTGGGAAGAAGGCTCTGCACGTTGAGTTGACCGACGATTAGGTGCCGGTTCCCGATGTCTCCGTGCCTGCGCCACCGAACCCCGCCCCTATCATATATCATATCAGTGTATTTAAACCTTCCACAAGGTGGCTTTTACGGTTTGGCGTCAGTACAATGGGTATACAAAGATAAGCGAGTAATAGACAAGTAAAAGCATACAATGTAAATTAAGAACGAATCAGGGGCGGAGTTTCCTATACAGTTTATGGGGCGGCTGCCCCACCAACTCTGTATTTTGCCCCACCAATAAGCGTTTTGCCCCACCAACTTTAGGTGATTTCTAAGACTTTGTTGCTTTGCAAATTAATATTTTTCGCATTGAAGAGCTTTGGAATGTCTGTTTAATGCAAAATATTATATCTGTAATGATAGGAATTGATTCAGTGTGACATTTTATTCAACTTCATCATCGGACATTGTGGGTTTGACGACTTTATGCCCCACCAACTTCCTTGGAAAAGCTCCACCCATGGAACGAATTAAAACTGACATATACATCAGAGCACACTCGATAAAATACATCAGGCACTTCTATTGATAGCTTTAAAAGCTGCCATCGACGTCGCGGTTCGCGCTGCTGGTGCGAGCCGGTTCCATGCCGCCGCCGCTCGGTATGAAAAGTGTTTCTGTGCCACCGTCAATCTGCGTCGCGGTAGCTGCAGGCTACACTCCACAGACCCTCGGGTTTGTCGACTAGACACGGTTTCGCGCGTGACAAACATATTTCGTACATCGGTTGGCACTCCCTCCGAATTTAACGCATTATATGTTTTTACTGCGTCGCGGTAGGCCACCATGGACTCTATCTTAGGCCATCCCAGTGACAGAAGTGCAGGCGTTACATGCTGACGTTTCTTGCAGCCTGTTACAATGCGAGCAGCGAAATTTAACACTTTTTGAATGCGATGAAGTAGGCTCCCGGTCGCCCCACCCCAGACGCACAGACAGTAGTTTAGATGAGGGAACACGTATGCCTGAATGATGGTTTTGAGAGCAGTCTGAGTGAAATAGTGGCGGAACCTATACAGAGAAACAAGAATCCTGTTGCACTTTTTGATAACACTACAGATGTGAGCGCTCCATGTAAGACCAGGGTCGATTGTGACACCGAGCAATTTTATGTGACTGGACTGTTTTACTAACGAATTACTGACTTCGATACAAATTCCTGAAGATTTGGTCAAGTTATGTTTTGTTCCAACAATCATAAAATCAGTTTTCTTTTCATTCATCTTAAGCAAATTGTTTCTGAACCACGACTGAAGCTCAGACATGGTCAGGGTGAGTCTTGTTTTCAGGTCGGTTAGACCCGGTCCATCAGGGCGCGCTCCATCAATGTGTACCGTATCATCGGCGTATGATATGAGTCGGCCATGGGTCACATGCGAATAGATGTCATTTGTAAAAAGTATAAACAAAATTGGACCCAAAATAGAACCCTGCGGCACACCGCACGTCACAGGTAGGGTAAGTTTCCCGCCTCGCACCACTTGCTTTCGGTTACTTAAATAGCTTTGAAACCAGTCCACATCAATGATACCATACCATGACAGTTTGGCGAGGAGAAGTCTATGATCAACGCAATCAAACGCTTTTGACAGATCGATCGTCGTCAGCGACGACACATGTCCCTCATCGATGGCATCAGTCACGCGTTCGATCGCGACGAGAACGGCGTCCTCGGTTGAGTGTTGCATCCTGTAACCAAACTGTGATGGGTGGAGCAGATTGGTTTCGGCTAGGTAGGTCGTCAGCTGTGTGCTCACAACTTTCTCCACTATTTTGGATAAAACGCTTAGTAGGGATATTGGCCTGTTATTGGATGGCACTGACGGGTCACCGGTTTTCGGACTTGGATTGATTCCATCCATCCAAGTGATTCGGACTTGGATTTTGACTTTGGCTTTGAACTGGTCTTGGTGTTCAAAATATACTTTGACTATGCTTTACGGTTAATCACTCACGGCCACGGGCCATGTCTTTATTTGGTGGCAGCGGGTTACGAGCTTCGCTCTTTCGTGATAAGCCGTAACCGGTAACGATGAACTGATTCGGATATTATACCTACCGGCTACCAAGAACGAAGATCAAATGAAGATGTTTTCGACTCGGACTGGCTCCTCTCGGTGCTCGAGGCCCTGGGCCTGGCCTACCTCGCGAGTGCATCCGGTGAACTCAGAACTGTGAGTTTTCGTGTCTGGTCCCGCCTGGGCCATGATTTTGTGCCTGAGTCGAGACTATCAGTGACTCGTGCCAGAACTATGGTGATGCTGCACTTTCTGTGTCTCGGTGGCCAGCTCTACCGCTGTTTGTTTGGCAGCCGTTCCGTGAGCCCCGCTGGCTCGACAGGCTGTGAGATGAGCGGCCAGCTAGCCCCCTTCAGTCTTCGGCGTTGCGCGCAGTGGTTGGCCTGAGCTGGTGCCGGCCACCACATGGCGCTGACGGCTGACGCTAGATTGCTGCAGGATTTCAATTTTCAAGTTCGTCGTTCGTCGCCGCTGCCAGCCGTGACGACCCGTGGCGACTGAAGTGACCGTTTCAAGTTCGGTCGTCGCCGCCGTCCATCGTGGCGGTCCTTGTGATTGCGATGCTCGCCTCCGAGAACGTCCGCCGTCGCCGTCGCTCGTGGCGACCGCTGTCGCAGCCGTCTTCTTCGTCGTCTTCAAGTTGCAACCGTCGCTCCTTGGCCGCCGGCTTCGGCCCAGAGCTGCTGTGACGTCAGCGGTCACGTGACGCTGCTCGTCGCTCGGCCGGCTGTGCGTCAGCTGACCGCCGCGGCCGCCGGCTCCTGCGGCTCCTGACGGCCTGGCGGACCGATGGATGGGCCGACGGCGAGGATCTCCATCGACAGACGACGACAATAAGATAAGTGTATCGATGGCTTGTGTGATGAGTGTATCTTGCAGTGTATGTATTTTGCTTTGTGATGTGTAGATAGGTGTGCCATTTTGGCGAAATGAATCCCAGGGACGGGGAGCAGAGTGGATCTGGGGACGTGCGCCGCGGGGCGATCGGTGGATTTTCTTTAGGGGCGCCAAAATTCTCTGGGGAGAGTGGTTCAGCTTGCAACATATTTTTGGCTGATCTGGATACGTTCTACACATTTCACAATTTTGATGATGAGTTCAAGCTGCGCTTCCTGCCGCTGTGCTTGACCGGGTTCGCACGAGATGCTTTTGAGGCCCTCCCACGGGAGGAGAGGAACACCTTCAGCCGGGCTGTTAGTGCTCTCCGCCACTTGTTCATCAAACCTTGCGCGCTGGATGCTCATAGTCAGCTTCACCAGTTAACCCGCGCCCGGCTGGGGGTCCTGGATTTCCACGCCCTGCTGGGGGGGGGTGTCTGAACACCCCCCCTTCTAACTCGGCTCCTGGGCCACGTAGCGATACGCGGTAGGCGGCGTTCGAAAGAGCGCCAAAAATAATTGACGAAATCACTTCGGTCAATTTTTGGTCAGGTCAAAGGTCAGGTCACCAGAGGTCATTGAAGGCAAAATTTTGCCGATTTCCAGGTCGAATGTCGACAATTTCCAAGAAGGCAACGCTCAGCCGCTGTTACTGCTACTATCAACTATCGTGGTTCAACTATCGTGGAACCCGCTGTTACTGACTCACTTATCGGATTCCTTGTCCTCTGGGCCACGATGATGGTAAAGTCTGCTACCCAATGTTGTATTTTAGCCGTCCCTCACCTGTTCCACCTGTCTGAATGCTCTGATCAGGTTGAGGCCGGCTAGTTTCTGCAGGTCGAGCACAGACCAGGAGCTGTCGCGGAGCAGTTCGGCAAACAGAAACGGGTATCGCGAGACGTCCTCCAGACCGAGCGGGGTGCTGCCGACAAGGCCACGTCCAACATCTCACCAGACAGACTGCCGCGGCCACGTCCAACATCTCACCAGACAGACTGCCACGGCCACGTCCAGCATCTCACCAGACAGACTGCCACGGCCACGTCCAGCATCTCACCAGACAGACTGCCACGGCCACGTCCAGCGTCTCACCAGACAGACTGCCACGGCCACGTCCAACATCTCACCAGACAGACTGCCACGGCCACGTCCAACATCTCACCAGACAGACTGCCACGGCCACGTCCAACATCTCACCAGACAGACTGCCACGGCCACGTCCAGCATCTCACCAGACAGACTGCCGCGGCCACGTCCAGCATCTCACCAGACAGACTGCCACGGCCACGTCCAGCATCTCACCAGACAGACTGCCACGGCCACGTCCAGCATCTCACCAGACAGACTGCCGCGGCCACGTCCAGCATCTCACCAGACAGACTGCCGCGGCCACGTCCAGCATCTCACCAGACAGACTGCCACGGCCACGTCCAGCATCACACCAGACAGACTGCCACGGCCACGTCCAACATCTCACCAGACAGACTGCCACGGCCACGTCCAACATCTCACCAGACAGACTGCCACGGCCACGTCCAACATCTCACCAGACAGACTGCCACGGCCACGTCCAGCATCTCACCAGACAGACTGCCGCGGCCACGTCCAGCATCTCACCAGACAGACTGCCACGGCCACGTCCAGCATCTCACCAGACAGACTGCCACGGCCACGTCCAGCATCTCACCAGACAGACTGCCACGGCCACGTCCAACATCTCACCAGACAGACTGCCGCGGCCACGTCCAACATCTCACCAGACAGACTGCCACGGCCACGTCCAGCATCTCACCAGACAGACTGCTGCGGCCACGTCCAACATCTCACCAGACAGACTGCCACGGCCACGTCCAACATCTCACCAGACAGACTGTCACGGCCACGTCCAGCATCTCACCAGACAGACTGCCGCGGCCACGTCCAGCACCTCACCAGACAGACTGCCACGGCCACGTCCAGCATCTCACCAGACAGACTGCCGCGGCCAAGTCCAACATCTCACCAGACAGACTGCCGCGGCCACGTCCAGCATCTCACCAGACAGACTGCCGCGGCCACGTCCAACATATCACCAGACAGACTGCCGCGGCCACGTCCAGGATCTCACCAGACAGACTGCCGCGGCCACGTCCAGCATCTCACCAGACAGACTGCCGCGGCCACGTCCAACATCTCACCAGACAGACTGCCGCGGCCACGTCCAGCATCTCACCAGACAGACTGCCGCGGCCACGTCCAACATCTCACCAGACAGACTGCCGCGGCCACGTCCAGCATCTCACCAGACAGACTGCCGCGGCCACGTCCAGCATCTCACCAGACAGACTGCCACGGCCACGTCCAGCATCTCACCAGACAGACTGCCACGGCCACGTCCAACATCTCACCAGACAGACTGCTACGGCCACGTCCAGCATCTCACCAGACAGACTGCCACGGCCACGTCCAGCATCTCACCAGACAGACTGCCACGGCCACGTCCAGCATCTCACCAGACAGACTGCCGCGGCCACGTCCAACATCTCACCAGACAGACTGCCGCGGCCACGTCCAACATCTCACCAGACAGACTGCCGCGGCCACGTCCAGCATCTCACCAGACAGACTGCCACGGCCACGTCCAGCATCTCACCAGACAGACTGCCACGGCCACGTCCAACATCTCACCAGACAGACTGCCACGGCCACGTCCAGCATCTCACCAGACAGACTGCCACGGCCACGTCCAACATCTCACCAGACAGACTGCCGCGGCCACGTCCAACATCTCACCAGACAGACTGCCGCGGCCACGTCCAGCATCTCACCAGACAGACTGCCGCGGCCACGTCCAGCATCTCACCAGACAGACTGCCACGGCCACGTCCAACATCTCACCAGACAGACTGCCGCGGCCACGTCCAGCATCTCACCAGACAGACTGCCGCGGCCACGTCCAACATCTCACCAGACAGACTGCCACGGCCACGTCCAGCATCTCACCAGACAGACTGCCACGGCCACGTCCAACATCTCACCAGACAGACTGCCACGGCCACGTCCAACATCTCACCAGACAGACTGCCACGGCCACGTCCAGCATCTCACCAGACAGACTGCCGCGGCCACGTCCAGCATCTCACCAGACAGACTGCCGCGGCCACGTCCAACATCTCACCAGACAGACTGCCACGGCCACGTCCAGCATCTCACCAGACAGACTGCCACGGCCACGTCCAGCATCTCACCAGACAGACTGCCGCGGCCACGTCCAGCATCTCACCAGACAGACTGCCACGGCCACGTCCAACATCTCACCAGACAGACTGCCACGGCCACGTCCAACATCTCACCAGACAGACTGCCGCGGCCACGTCCAGCATCTCACCAGACAGACTGCTACGGCCACGTCCAGCATCTCACCAGACAGACTGCCACGGCCACGTCCAACATCTCACCAGACAGACTGCCACGGCCACGTCCAGCATCTCACCAGACAGACTGCCACGGCCACGTCCAGCATCTCACCAGACAGACTGCCGCGGCCACGTCCAGCATCTCACCAGACAGACTGCCGCGGCCACGTCCAGCATCTCACCAGACAGACTGCCGCGGCCACGTCCAACATCTCACCAGACAGACTGCCACGGCCACGTCCAGCATCTCACCAGACAGACTGCCACGGCCACGTCCAGCATCTCACCAGACAGATGACGGTCGCGGGTATACTGATAGCTTTTCAAATCCGAGCCCCAGTGAAAGGACAACACCCAGTTAGCACCCATTTCGTGGGTGAAGGGGCGTCGACACGGATTTTCGACAGGGGGGGGGGGGACGGATCGCCGGGCTAAAAAAAGTATTGCTACCTCACTTCTTCAGGCTGATGCATCATCTGTCTTATGATGATGGGCCAAATTCCTTCACATTGCAGTACCACAGTACAGGTACACGTCTGAAGTCAGATTCATTTTGACATGGTGGCCAAATCATCTGGTCCTGTAGCAGCCGGTGTAATTGTTGGCGTATGCCACCAATCCACCACTGGGGTAAAGCATACATACCTGCGTGGGAGTGGCTTTATTAGTCAAATCAATTTTTCTCTTTGACTTGAGTATGTATCAGCGGCGCGAAGCGCTGCCAGAATGGGAATAATCACTTGGCAAAACGGCTCCAAAACACATCGATTTTGCAGCCCGTGTAACAAGTTTGTTACCAGAACACTTAACCCGCGAGTTGCTGGGGGAGGGGGGCGTTAAACGCCCCCACTTTTTTCGCCGGGCCATAGCATAAAAACGGCGCGCCGCAGGCACGCCAAATTTTGGGTACCTGTAGGGAATTGATTTAAGTTTATTGTGACAAAGTTTCAAAAAAATCGGTCGGAAAATTTTTGAGATATCGAGGTTTTAGTGACGTCATGATTTCTGAGTTTTCGACCAAAAACGGCATATGTTAAAAAATTCATATAAAATCACAGAATAGACATACAGACATGCCGTAAACGCCATTAGACTGCCAATGCCATGAACAATCAAATGGCTATCTTCGATTATTGATTTTCGATCTGCATTTTCGAAAATCTTGAACTGAATCTTGGCAATTTCTCGTGACTACTTCACGACCATGATACATGCATTTCTTAACCCTCGCCCTGGCAGGGGGGGGGGGTCAATGCGACCCCCCCCTAAGGTTTTTCGAAGATAGCGTAAAAACGGCGGCGCAAATTTGGCACAGCCTATGGGGCAACCTTTTTACATATGACCTGAAACTTTCAGGTCCGGGTGACCTTGGGTCAGGTCACGAGGTCAGAAAAACCGGTACAAGGTCATGGTCAAATTTCAATTTTCTTTTTGCACCTGTCCAACTCACAGTTTTGGACTGATTTCCTTCAAACTTTCAGGATGTGCTAAGTTCACCGAGTTGTATAACATATAGTTCGTTTTTTTAGGTCACTGACCTGAGGTCAGTTAGAGGTCATTACGTCGTAATGTTAAGCCTATGGGAAAATACTAAATTCGGAAAATACTGGAGATATCCGCTTCGTTCTATCACTTTTGTGCTTTGAAACCACAGTACTTAACAGCAGGTCACTTGGTGCTTCTTTGTTTGGTGTACTTATCCATGGGTCAGGTCAAATGAGGTCAACTGAGGTCAAATGACGTTTTTGCCAACAACTTGGCACATAATGACGCTAGAGCTTCAAAAATTGTGTCATTGTGTTCCTTGTGATCAGCCGAATCGAATGATATGCGATATGATGCAATTTGGTTAACTTGAACTTAATTAATTAATTAAAGTTTACTTAAAATTTAAGAAAAACTTTAAGTACACTTAAGTAGGCTAAAAAGTATACCATTCGACGCGCCTTGACGTGCTGAGTTCACTGGTGCTTTTCTGTTTGCTCTATCTTGATTAGATCAAAAGTTATAAGCGAAAAACTTTTGACCTGTTTTTAGCGAAATTTTTACATTTATACCCCCCAAAACCCCCCTAAATATTGACCTAGAGCAACCAAATTCGCACAGGGGCGAGAACTCCAAGGGGCCCACCTACCTACCAAATTTGGTGTTTCTAGATGCCATAGGAGCCAATCGCGAGGGGGGTCGCATCGACCCCCCCTGCCAGGCCGTGTTATGAAAAATGCCCTGCCAGGGCGAGGGTTAAATTAAACTTTTTGAGCCAAACACTTACACATATGACAAAATGAATGTCACCATCGTGTTCTACGCCCCAAATTACCCATAAAACATGTGTCACAGGCTGCGAATATCAGTTTTGATTTTCGGGGACATGTGCCTACCCGGTTGACCTGACCTTGACCCTGACCTATGCTTGACTGACCCCTACATGAAGCTGACACTCTTGTAGGCCTTATATGATGGATTGTGCACCGTTTTGACAGAGTTTATGACGAGAGACGCCCATTGCGAAGTCCTGAAGTCCATG